TGCACGAGTGGCCTCAGCCGCCGCCTCCGCCGGCCCGTATCGTGCGCACCCCGCCCAGGAAGAGGTAAAGGCTCGGCGAAAGAGACACAGGAAGAAGAAAGGCAACCCAACTTTGGTTGAGCCTCTCAGTGAGGCTCGCCTTTCGGCTGAGCCTCTTAGTGAGGCTCGCCTTTCGGCTGAGACTCTTCGTGAGGCTCGCTTGCACTTTTCGTGTTCGGCTGAGCCCGTGTCAGGGGCTCGCCCAGATGAATGCTCTGATGTGGTTGGTTTGGAGCCGCTTCCTTCGGTTGAGGCGCTCCCCGATCAGGCGGTAGCACATTCGTTTTCGGGTGAGGCGGAGGGCTCGGCAGGGACACTGCAGCATTTTTCACGACCCGACGTTGCGACGGGATCTTTACAATTGGGCGCGAAGACGCCTGAGGGTTCGAGTTTTGATGTGGGCGCAAGGGCGCCCTCCATCTCGGACTGTGCTTTGCTCCGCCGTTTATGATGGCGTTGAGGTGATAGAAGTTCTGCGCGCAAAGCCGTGGCTGGTGGAACCTGTTTTGAGTGCGGCGTCTCGGTTGGTCCTGGCGGAGGTTTCCACCCTCATGCCAGTAGTATCAGCCTTGCAGGCGCCCAGTTCTAGCCGGTAGTCTCAGTCATGCAGCTGTTCACTTAGTAGCTCCTGCACCCAATTTTCTTGCTACCATGTTTTAACCCGCCTCGGAGTTTGGCATGGCATCGCACACAGTGAAAAAAACTCCTCCTCCTCCTCCTCCTCCTCCTCCTCCTCCTCCTCCTCCTCCTCCTCCTCCTCCTCCTCCTGCTCCCCTGACCTTGCCCCCGAACCCGCCGCCCGCTCGCGTCCTCGATCAGCCCCGCGGCCAGCCCGCCCTCGGCGAAGCCCCCGGCGCGGCACGCCCTCTCCAGGCGCCGCACGAGCATGCCGCGCGCGCGGCGCGCCGTGTCCAGGGACACCGCCACGTCGACGAAGCAGATGCGCTGGGAGACCTACCAGCGAGCGACGAGCACTGGCTGCGAGGAGTGGATCCATCTCTAGGGAGGAGGAGGAGGAGGAGGAGGAGGAGGAGGAGGAGGAGGAGTCCACCGCATGCGGGACCGACGCCCTGGACTCCAGCGGGCGGCGGGTGTGCATACCTCTCGGCCCCAGGGGGGCCGAGTCTGCCCGCGCCCACCGACCTTCCACGAGCGAGCGCACGAAGCACCTCTTCGGACGATCGCCTGGGCCTGGCTGAGACCAGGTGGGGAAGGCCACTGCCTCTAACAACATCCGAGCACGCATCGCAACCTGCCACGGGCGACGAGCACACGCCCACTTCCGCGCCCTCGCGGGATCCACAGACGTCTGGGCGACCGTTCCCACGGCGGCAGGGTCGGGACAACATCGGACAGGGATAGATCGGGGATCTCTGAGATCCGGCAATTCTGGAATACGTATGGGGCCCGATGTCAGAGTGAAGGGGCCGGACGGTCATTCATTGTCCCTGGGTGCGCGGCTGAAGTGAGATTCTGCGGCGTGAATCCTGCTTGTTTACTGTTTGATGTTGCTGTTGTGTGCTGTTGTCGTCGTTCTCGCCCGCGACCCCCCGCGACCCACCCGCGACCCCCCGGAAGCCTACGAGCGCGCCCCGAAGGGGCCCCACGAAGCATCCCCGAGGACTCCGCCCCACGTCAGCCTCGTCGTCGCCGCCGACGCCGCCGTCGTGGTCGTCCCCCTTCAGGGTCGGCGGCACCGGCCGCAAGGCCTTCCCAATTAAGCACTCGATGCCCAACAGCAAACCTTCCTCAACACCGACATAGGACAAGGGCCAGTCGACACAAAGGCGGCCTTCCCCGACGTGTCTCGTCCTTTTTTGGGCCTCTGGGAGGCTTCTCTGAGCAACGGCTGGATCCGCATCGAAACCGAGTCAAGATGAATCCCAGGAGGGTCTGAAGTCCGAATCTGAGCGGATTCGGGGCTGGGCGGAGATAACCGCCGTTGTCTCAAGTGGCCCTCCCCTGACGACAGCGTCCGCTGTTGGGCAGGCGACCTCTCGTCTCGCATGGACAACGTCTGCGGCGACACTGGCAGGGAGCCCTCGTCACCACCCTCTCCGTGCAAATTTCGGCCGTGCCGACCCACGAACTTGAAGGAACCCAAGGACACACAAAGAAATACACACAGATAAAATGATTCCCCATATTTTCCCAGATGTTTTGGGTTTTTGTCTTCCCCCCCACTTCCCATATGTTCCCATGTTTTCTATGGAATCGACGATTCGTTGTGTCCGTGTGCTTCTCTCCCTCCTGAGAACCTTCCAGTGCCCAGCGGCGGGGCTCCAGCCGGAGGCGTCCAGCACGACGACCAGGCTGGAGCTCCTGCCGAAAAGCTCGAAGACCACCTCCGCCATGGCCGGCACGGCCAGCCGCACCAGGCTGTCCTTCAGCTCCGGCCAGAACTCGGCCCTCCGAGCGTCGTCCGCGGGGATCCGCGCGCTGGGCACCCGGGCCTCCGACAGGGGGGGGCCGGACCCTACGGCGCGGCCAGGTCGCAGAGGATGGGCCCCATGGACGCCCAGGCTGAAGCCGCTCCATCAGGAGACTCGCACAGGGTGGGCCGCAGAGGCTCGGATAAGAGAGGTCCCAGCGTCTCAAGACGACCCATCCTGAGAATGAGGAGGAGAGGGAGCAGGGAGGAGGAGGAGGAGGAGGAGGAGGAAGAGGAGGAGGAGGAGGAGGAGGAAGAGAAGGAGGAAGAACAAGATGTCCGGTATTTTGGGCCTCCGAGCGGCGTCATGACTGCGTTGGTACAGCCTGCGTCCCAACACCCGGCGCGCTCTGCGCGCCGTGGGAAGCCGATGTGGCAGGGGGGTCCCGCGCCGCCCCAAGGAACCAACCCGGACGTTTCTCGAGGAGGCGTAAGATTCGGGTTCGGAGGGCGCGGGTCGGCCTGACGGGAACGTCGGCAAGAATAAGGAGACCCAGTCTGACATTCGACGCGAGCTCCCGCTGCCAACGTCCACCGAAAACTGGACCGCCAAAACCCAGGACGGGCCCGTCAAACGGCGCCGGCAAACCCGAGTTCCAGCGAACTCGAGACTTACGATTCCCCAATATTCAAACACGTCGTTGTTTTGCACTCAAGGGCTGGAGGGGATTAGGGGAGATTGCAACCCAGAGCCTCGATCTTCGACAATCCGCCTCGGTTCGAGGGAGAATAGGAAGGAGGAAAGAGGGAGGGAGGAGGAAAGGATGGTACGTAGGAGGTGAGAAAGGAGGACAGGAGGCTTCGAGAGAGGGGGAAGGGATGAGATCCAGGATCGATGGCGGCCAGCACCTCGATCCTCCTCCTCCTCCTCCTCCTCCTCCTCCTCCTCCTCCTCCTCCTCCTCCTCCTCCTCCTCCTTTCGATCAGCTTTCGATATGGGCCCCGCAGCGCGCCGACGGCGCGCCGTAGCCCTTAGTTCGTCGTCCTGTTGTAATCGACGAACGGGTCCTCCCTGGCTTTGCGACGGGCGCCCCTCCTTTGCTCGCGAGCTGAGGGACGCCCGACCTTCTCTTCTTCTTCTTCTTCTTCTTCTTCTTCTTCTTCTTTGCTGTCGAGCCGCCTCCGAGCTCAGGCTGAGCTGGCGGCCCCCGTCTGTTACACGGGGTGCGGGCCGCTCCCCCCTTCGGCCCGAGGGCTGGGGGCAGCGTTGCCGTGGCGCACGGCGCGCCACGTCTTCTTCTCGTGCCAGGGTCGATGGCTGGCGTCGATGCTTCCGTCGACGCCGTCGCTCCTCTTGCTGGCGTCGGTGCTGGCAATGGCGTTGCCGCCCTCCTGTGTCTGGCCGCGCATCTGAGGACCCTGCTCCTGTCCTCCTTTCTGCGGGCGTCCGCGGTCGGGGGGCGCTGCTGAGGACCCTGCTCCTGTCCTCCTCCTCCTCCTCCTCCTCCTCCCCCTCCTCCTCCTCCTCCTCACTCCTCCTCCTCCTCCTCCTCCTCCTCCTCCTCCTCCTCCTCTCCTCCTCCTCCTCCTCCTCCTCCTCCTCCTCCCCTCCTCCCCTCCTCCTCCTCCTCCTCCTCCTCCTCCTCCTCCTCCTCGCTGCTGAACCCCTGGGCGCGCCTCCTGCTCCCATCGGCCACGAATGGGCACTTGGGGGTCGATGCATCCCCCTCGCGCCGGGGGAGGAGGAGGAGGAGGAGGAGGAGGAGGAGGAGGAGGAGGAGGAGGAGGAGGACGGAGGAGGAGGACGGAGGAGGAGGAGGAGCCTGAGCCATTGCTCCCCTCGCGCCGGGGAGGGCCGGGGAGGAGGGAGCGCCCGCCGCCTCCAGCGACACGAAGAGCTTCATGATCAGGGGCTGCAGCTGCTCCCGGAAGAACGGCGGGACCCCCAGCCTCTCGCCGGACGGGCCGGCAGCGGAGGACGGGGCGGTCCAGAAGAGGGGGGCGTCTGTAGAAGGAGAAGAAGAAGAAAGAAAGAAGAAACAAGAAGGAGGAGGAGGAGGAGAAGAAGAAGAAGAGAAAGAAGATGAAGAAGAAAGATAATAAGAAGAAGGAGAAGAAGAAGAAGAATGAAGAATAAAGAAGAAGAAGAAGAAGGAGAAGGAGAAGAAGAAGAAGAAGAAGGAAGAAGAAGAAGAAGAAGAAGAAGGGGCGTGAACATACGCTTCTGGCGCTCCGCGCGGACTTCTTGGATCTGCGCTGCACCCCCCCCTGTCTGGCGCGCGGAGCGCGCCAGGGGCGGCGCCGGCGGCGCCGCTGGGGAGGGCCCAGCGCGGATCTGAGAACATGCCACTTCCGCTTTCTACCGGCCTTTTGCCGGAGGGTCTGGGGAAGGGGGGAGCAGGGCTAGGTTAGGTTAGGTTAGGGAACCCGTGGAGACATGGTCAGGCCTGAACACGATCCGAACTCACAGATCGGGAGAGCAGCCAATGCTTTTTTGGGGGGGAGGCCCCCCTGGACAAACGAGAAGGCACCTCCTTCCCTGCTTGCGAAGGGAGGAGCAGGGGGAGGAGTGCCCGAGGATGGGAAGGAGCAGGAGGTAAGGGGAGGGACCAAGAGGGGGAAGACGAGGAGGGGGGGAGGAGCACCAGCAAGCGCAGGGGGAAGGAGCAGGGAGGGAGAGGCACGAGGAGGGCGGGGAGAAGAGGGAGGGAGCAGGAGAAGGAGGAGGACGGAGCAGGAGGGAAGGTATGAAGGGGCCCAGGGACACACAAAGAAAGAGACACACGTCCCAGGACTCCCCATACTTTCCAGACTTCAAGGGTGCTCGTCTTCCCCATCCACTTCCTAAACTTTCCATGTTTTCCCGGGAATCGACGATTGTGCGTGCTGTGTGCTTTTGTTCCGCCCTGGAGGTAGGAGGGGGAGGTCGGAGGAGGCAGCGGGCGGGGAGGGGGGAGGAGGACGGGGAGGAGGAGGAGGAACGCAGGCGACGCGAAAGAGGAGGAGGACGAGGACGTGAAAGAGGAGGAGGAGGAGGAGGAGCTCCGTGCGCGTTGGGGTTCCAGCGCGCACGCGAGGCGGCTGGAGAAGAGCCGCCCTGTGCGCTTCGGGGGGGCCAGCATCGGGCGTCGGCCGGACCGGATTTAATGGGGCACGGTTGAGCGATGTGTGCACAAGGACGCCCCCCGCCCCATCCTACCAACAAAAACAGAACTGTCGCCACCCAGAGAAACAGCGGCTACGGCAGACCTGGTTGAGTGATTCCAGTTCATTGGTTGGGCTTCGGGACCCACTGCTGTCGCCGCCGCCGCCGCCGCCGCCGCCGCCGCCGTCGTCGTCGTCGTCGTCGTCGTCGTCGTCGTCGTCGTCGTCGTCGTCGTCGTCGTCGTCGTCGTCGTCATCTTCGTCGCCGCCCCCGCCGCCGCCGTCGTCGTCGTCGTCGTCGCCGTCGCCGACGCCGTCACCGTCTTCGTCGTCGTCCTCGTCGGTCTCGACGTCGTCGTCGTCGTCATCGTCGTCGTCGACGTCCCTGCCGTCGTCGTCGTTGTCCGACGGGCTCCCTTACCGGAAGTTATGGCTATAGATCCGATACTAACTGGGGGGGCATCCGAAGGCAGCTGGAGCGACACTCTGCGAGGCACGCTGTGCTCCACCGCGCGCTGGACTGCAGCGGGGCTCCAGCTCGACATGCTTCCCGCTGCGCTGCTGCGCTGGCACGGTGGCGGGCGGGGTCTGCCGCGTGCAGCTGGGTGGATGATCTAGCCCCTTCAATGTTACTCCTCCTCCTCCTCCTCAACCTCCCCACCCTCCCCTGGAGAGCATCCTCCTCCTCCTCCCCATGCTCCCCATCCTCCCTGGGATGGCATCATCCCGTCCATGTCACTCCTCCTCCGCCTCATCTCTCCTCCCCGTCTTCTCCCCGCCTAGGAGAACAAGAAGGGGGGCACGCCATGATAATCGGTGTGCGCACCAGGCACCAGCCGGTGATGTCGATGAGCCTTCATGGAGAGCGGCGGTGTGTAGTAGCATCGGTTGTCCTCAGCAGTCCACACACCGCCACCCTCGCCTGAGGCCCGGAAACAGTCCAATCGAGGACACATACACAAATCCACATCTGCATAAACAGATTGGCATACATACAAACGTAGCTATACAAAGGTGCTCCTGACGGAGATGGCATTTTACGGTGCGTCTTTTTTATTGAGGCCTCTGGAAGCCTCTGGAAGGAGGAGAATTATCGGGACCGCCGGAGACCTCCAATGAAATCGAGAGACCTCTCAAGACCTCTGGGGACCTCCAGGGACCTCCAGAGACCTCCAGAGGACCCCGACCTCCCCTGCGAGCTTCCCCGCTTTCGCGTTCGAACTCGTTCCTTCTCGTCCTGCTCCTCCTTATCCGCGTCGTCCTCCTCTCTCACCCCTCTTCCTCCCTGATCCTCCTCCTCCTCCTCCTCCTCCTCCTCCTCCTCCTCCTCCTCCCTCCTCCTCCTCCTCCTCCTCCTCCTCCTCCTGGCTCATCATCATCCTCCCGCGTCATCTTCCTCCTCCTCCTCCTCCTCCTCCCTCCTCCTCCTCCTCCTCCTCCTTCTCCTCCTCCTCCTCCTCATCCCCCTTCGTCCTCGTCCTCGTCCTCCTCCTCCTGACTTCTCCCTCTCTCAAGACTTCTTCGCCGCCCCTCCCTACCTTCATCCACCCTCGTTATCCCGCCCTCTCCCCCACCAACAAACACACCCTTCAACCTCCCTCCTACCTCGTTCGCCCTGAATTCTCATCTTCGATTCTTGTCTTCCCACCCTCCTCTTCTTCGTCCCTCCCCTCCTCATCTCCCTTCCTACCGTCTCCTCCTCCTCTTCCTCCTCCTCCTCCTCCTCCTCATCATCATCATCAGCATCATCATCACTCATGTCTCTACCCTCCTCCAGCATCCCTCTGTCCTCCCTTTTCCTTCTCCTCCTCCTCCTCCTCCTCCTCCCTTCCTCCCTCCCTCCCTCTCTCCCTCCCTCCCTCCCTCCCTACCCCCTCTCTGATTCCCCCTCCTCTGAAATCATCCAGAAACCTTCGCAATCAACCAGAACCCATACGGAACCATCCGAAACCATACCAAATCAAAGCCTGTTTCCGAACTAGAAGAACCCACACTACGACTGGATGTCTGATACGTACTGCGGACTGCCTCACTGACATACATGACGTGATGAGAAGCAACTGGAAACCGAAATCAGGCTAGTGGAAAAATGGCTGGGCAAAGTTGGCTCGCCAGGTTGGCTTAGCTTGTGGAAGTGAGGCTGTGCGACAGCTGCGGCGGCCATCCGAATCGGGCATGGGCTGGTTCGACAACCACAACGCGCCCGCCGAATGTGTTTCGGACACCGTCGAGGTCCCAAGACCCGCCCGTGGACCGTTAGCGTTCCGGCCTGGATCTCAAATCGCATCCAGACAGACCCAGGGAACAACTGTGCCAACACCCTGATGATTACTCGAGCCTCCCTCCCCCAACCAGCCTTCCGGTCCACTCAGCATCGGCCCGTGGACCCCTCCCGCACACCACCCAGGCTAAGTCTTCGGAGCTGCGTCCTGCCGTGGCCGCGGGGAGCCCGAGGAGGGAGGAGAAACGGCGAAGCCAAAACCTCCAGGGAGCAGGGGCGGAGGACGACCACGACAGCCCAGAGCGCGTTCAGGACGGATCACGCGATCGCTCGCGGGGTCCGCCCTGGCGAAGCTGTCGAGCCGCGTCCCGCCGTGGCGACCAGGAACCCAGAAGGCGACCAGGTAAGCAACCCCAGAACGACGAACTCGACATCGACGACTCGACGACGACGACGACGACGACGACGACGACGACGACGACGACGACGGGAACCCAGCCTGTGCAGCGCCACCACGTGACGGCACAGCTGCTGCTCGTCGGCCTGGGCAGGATCAGCCGGCATCGGCCCAGGAAACGTGACCGAGCTAGAACGCGGAGCGGATTGGACAAGCGCGGCACGGACTCGGAACCGTGTCGGGCTGGCTTCGCCAGGATGCACGGCTGCGCCGTGCGCGAGCTTCGAGCCGCATCGGATCGCGGGAGAACTGAAATCAGATCCGATCGGGCCTCGCGAACGCGAAATCGAATCGGATCGAGAAGAGAGACGGATGACGTGCTTAAACAAAACTCCTGGAGATCCGCGCGGCCTTCTTGGACCAGCGCTGCGCCCCCCTCGCTGGCGCACGGAGCGCGCCAAGGGCGGCGCCGGAGACGCCGCCGGGAGGGTCCAGCGCCGATCCAAGAAATCTGCGCGGGCCACCGCGAGTGTATGCTCATGCAGCTGGTCGTGCTCGTCGATCGATCGAATCGGACTGGGCCGTGCCTGGGTTGCTGCACACCACTGTGGCAGCCCCTGGACGCCGCGGTTGACGAACCAGTCCCGCAGGCCCTCGGGCAGAGTCAGGGCCTGTCGCCGCAGCCGCACGGCGCCCTCGCCGTCACCATCGTCGGCGTCCTCGTCGTCGCCGTCAACGTCGCCATCGCAGTCGTCGTCGATTCGAGGTCCGAGGTTCCAGGTTCCAAGCTCGAGGCTCGGTAATCGAAGATCGAAGCCACATGATCGAGGCTTGGGAGGAGGGAGGAGCAGGAAGGAGTTGATAGGGGAGGAGTGGGGAGGAGGAGAAGGCGTAGGGAGTTGAAGAAGCGGGACAGAGGAGGGGATGGACCAGGAGGTAGAAATGGGGAGGAGATGGAGAAGACGGAGGGAGAGGTGAAGAGGACTGAGGAGGACGGCCGCGGGAGCCACAGTTTGAAAATCATCCGCCCCACACCAGGACCCCCCAGAAACCAGCAAAAACCATAAGAACATCACTCGATCCGTGACCCGAAATTTACGACGACAACGACGACGAAGGCGACGACGACGACGACGACGACGACGACGATGACGGCGGCGGAGATGGCGACGACGGCGACGGCGATAGCTGCGGCAATGGCGACGACATCAACGACGACCAAACATCCAGTTGTTCGAGCCACGTGCTGCCGCGGCGACGAAGGCCTACAAATGATAACCTCCACGGCGACGACGACGACGACGACGACGATGACGACGACGACGACGATGACGACGACGACGATTACGCCGACGACGATGACGACGACGACAACCACCACGACGACGACGACGACGACGACGACGACGACGACGACGACACGTCGGCGGCGACGTCCGCGGGGTGGCGACAGCGACGACGACGACGACGACGATGACGGCGACGACGACGACGACCTCGAACCTCGGTCCCGACTACTACCCCCCCCCTCATCACTCCTCCGCCACTCCTCCCTCCCTCCCTCCTACAGTCCTCGACTCCCTCCACCTCCACATCTGCATTCCTCCACTCCCTCCCTCCTTCCTTCCCCCACCCTCCCTCAAAAGGCCTGGGGGCGCCCGGGTGGGTCCCCACCTCGTCGCACAGGGGGGCCCCCGGGCATTGGGGTTGTGGCCCGAGGTCCCTCGTCGGCAACCGTCTGGGCACGTCCTCTTTGAGGTCTGGCCTGGTGGCACTCCTGGCCTGGCTGTGTTCTAATGATAAGTAAACGTAAAACTGCTGCTAAATCCGACGACCCTGTCGGCGAGTGCCAGGCGCTGCTTCGCTTGACTCGTCGTCTTCGACGTCGTCGTCGTCGTCCTAGTCGTCGTCCTCGTCGTCGTCGTCGTGGTCGTCGTGGGCGTCGTGGTCGTCGTAGTCGTCGTCGTCGTCGTCCTCGTCGTCCTTGTCGTCGTCGTCGTGGTCGTCGTGGTCGTCGTAGTCGTCATCGTCCCCGTCCTCGTCGTCGTCGTTGTGGTCGTCGTGGTCGTCGTGGTCGTCGTGGTTGTCGTAGTCGTCGTCGTCGTCGTCGTCCTCGTCGTCGTGGTCGTCGTCGTCGCGATCGTCGTGGTCGTCGTAGTCGTCGTCGTCGTGGTCGTCGTCGTGGTCGTCGTCGTCCTCATCGTCGTTGGCGTCCTCGTCGTCCTTGTCGTCGTCGTCGTCTTCGTCGTCCTCATCGCCGTCGTCGTCGTCGTCGTCGTCGGCGTCCTCGTCGTCGTCGTCGTCGTCCTCGTCGTCGTCGTCGCCATCGCCGCCGCCACCGCGGTTGCCGCTCCCCCCCACTTTCCCTGGGCCCTCCTCCCTCAAGCGCGTCAGTCAAAGCGAAATTGAGCAACGTCGTAGTTGAGTCGAGTGGAAGCCCTTCCCTTTGATCCCTTCCCCGCCAGGGGGGGGGGGGCCCGGAGGGGTCCTGAGGGGGCCCCAGATCAGAATACTATCCCCGGGGGGTCCCTGAGCCCACAAGGCCCAAAGACGGGTCAAGGGTGCCCTCCCCGACGGTCCAAGAAGGACCCGATTCGCCGAACGATCGGTCCAAGACGCCAACGATAGTCTCAGACGGCCCAAGAGAACTCCAAGACGCCCCAGGAGGCTCCAAGAACACTCCAACGAGGGCACTAAGAGACAACTTCGTCGATCCTTCTGAGGTTTTCGATAGATTTGGGCGTTCTCGCCGTTTCTGCTTCTTGACGCTCCAAGAAGGCCCAAGAGGCCCCAAAGATTGCCCTCAGACGGCCCAAAAGGTGTCGAAGAGGGCCTCAAAACGACCCGAAAGGGTCCGAAGACCGCCCAAGAGGCCTTCAAGACGACCCAAGAGGCCCCCAAGACGACTCGGAGATGGTGACCAGTAAGGCGACCCGAACGGACGGTTCGAGCCCTCGGCCCAGGGAGGCTCTCAGGAGGCCCCAGGAGGCCACAAAGAGGCCCCAGAGATGCCCCAAGAGGCCCCCAAGAGGCCACCAGGAAGCCTCAAGAGGCCCCCAGGAGGCTCCCAAGAGGCCCACAGGTGGGTCCCAAGAGGCCCCCCTAAAAACTGCCCCCCAGAGGCCCCCGAGAGCGCTCCGAAGAGACCCCAAGAAGCATCTCTCAGGACTCTGACCCACGTCTGCGTCGTCGTCGTCGCCGCCGCCATCGTCGTCTTCCCCCTTCCAGCGTCGGCAGCACCCGCCGGCGGGCCTTCGCAATATCAGGGACGCCGCTGAGTGAACTACACCAGGGCCCCATCTTTGAACCACCGACCTCCCTCACCCTCGAAACCCGAGCCTCGATCCTCGAACGGGCGGTGGCGGCGGCGCGCGGCGGCGGCCTTGGGCGCCTTCAGCGCGGCGGGCTCGGGCCCCCGCCTCGGCGCCTTCCGCTCGGCCAGCGGCCTGGCTCCAGCGCGGCCGCTCCGCCGACCATGGCAGATCGGCCGTCGTCCTCGTCCTCGTCCTCGTCCTCGCCGCCGCCGCCATCACCGCCCCCACCGCTGACACCGCAGCCAGCGTCGTCATAGTCCTCATCGTGGTCGACCTCGTCGTCGCCGCCGAAGTCGTCGTCGCCGTCGTCCTCGTCCTCGTCCTCGTCCTCGTCCTCATCGTCCTAACCCTCGTCGTCGTCGTCCTCGTCTTCGTGGTCATCGTCGCCGTCGTCGCCGTCGCCGTCTTCGCAGTCGTCGTCGTCGTCGTCCTCGTCGTCGTCGCCGAGGTGGTCGTCGTCGTCGTCGTCGTCGTGGTCGTCGTCGTCGCGTCGTCGTCGTCATCGTCGTCGGCGTCGTCGCCGCCGTCGTCCTCGTCGCCAACGTCATCGTCGCCGTCGTCGTCGCCGTTTTCGTTTTCGTTTGTAGTCTTCGTATGGTTGTCATTGTCGTCGTCGTCATCGTCGTCATGTTCGTGCTCGTCCTCCTCTTCGTCGTCGTTCTCATCGCCGACGTCGTCGTCGTCGCTGTCTTCGTCGTGGTCGTCGTCTTCGTCGTCGTCATCGTCGTCACCATCATCAACATCGATTCGAGATTCGAGGCTCGAGGCTCGAGGCTCGAGGTTGAAAAATCAAGGACCGAAGCCTGATGATTGAGGCTTCAGGATGAAAAAATCGAGGAGGACGGAGCAAGGATGAAGAGAAGGAGGGGAAAGCGGGAGGAGGAGGGAGGGGGGAGGAGGAGGGATGAAGAAATATGATAAGACCATATACGATAAGTAGTATAACATGTTGTAGAGAAAATGAGATCTGACACGATGTCATCATATAAGAAAAGGTAAGATAAGGTACAAGTACATAAGCTACTCTAAAATACTATGACATACCAAAAGATATCGGACCATACCCTGTACGATAAGAGAATGGAATGTGTAATAGTAGAGGGTGAGATATGATAAGATCTTATAGATACGAAATGAAACAGATCATATGCTATGTTTTAAGATAATGAAAGCCAAGGTATGGGAACATGAGGTAATATAACACAATGCTCGCAATGATCAGATGAGATACGATAATATACGAGAAAGCAATGTGATATACGATCAGATAAGATAAGATAAGGTAAGACGGTACCTTGCGATAGATGGCAAGGTCGACTGGCCTCTGACCGTACAAACTTGCTGTAGGCATTGGCCTCACACCGAATCGAAACACTAGAAGCGGCGATACGCTGTCACGAGACCTCTCTTGCGACATCAGCAAAGCAGCAACAGTGGAAGGGAGGAGGAGAAGGGGAGATGGGAGGAAAGAGGGAAGAGGAGGAGGAGGAGGAAAAGGGGAGGAGAAGGGGGAGGAGGAGGAGGAGGAGGAGGGAGGGGGGGGGGGGGGAAGGAGGGTGGGAGGAAGGGAGGGAGGGAGGAGGGAGAGGGAAGGAGGAGAGACAGGAGGAGGAAGGACCTCCTCCTCCTCCTCCAAGAGGAGGAAAGACCTCCTCCTCCTCCTCCTCGTCCTCACTATTCTGGCGTATGCTCATGTACTTTAACCGTCAGGCTGTAACGTCAACTCCTCCTGCCCCGCATAGTCCGCTTCCTTCAAATCTCAAGTTCATCATGGACATCGTCCTTCCCCCCCCCTCGTATTACCCTCACCCCATTACGTGAGCCCACGCCTCTCCTCCTCCGCTTCCTCCTTCTCATAATGATCATTCCTGCTGCTGCTGCTCCTCCTCCGTAAGCATCCTCCAAGCTCATCCTCACTCCCACATCTCCTCCAGGATGATGCGGAGGAGGGAGGGAGCCCAGAGAATCGAGCATCGAGGTTCGTCCTGCTCCCCCCTCCCCGTCTCATGCTCCTTTGTCATCCCTCAGTCCTCCTTCTCCTCCCAGGTCCTACCATGCACAAGATTATCCAAAGATGTTTTCGCATAGGGGTTTTTACCTCGCCATATGAATTCGTGTGTGAAGCTCTCTGCCGTCGCTGCTGCTGTTGTAGTTGTTGCTACTGCTGTTACTTATGGTGTTGCTGCGGTTGCTGATGCTGCTGCTTTTAGTGTTGCTGGTGTTGCTGATGGTGGCGTTGTCGTTGTCGGTGCTGGTCGTGTTGTTGCTGTTGTTGTTGTTGATGTTGTCGTTGTTACTGTTGGTGTTGATGATGCTGGCGTTGTTGGTGGTCGTGGTGCTGTTGCCGGTTGTGTTGTCGTTGGTGATGTTGAAGTTGTTGTTGGTGTTGTCGGTGTTGTTGGTGTTGTTGTTGCTGCTGGTGCTGTGGGTGGTGGTGCTGCTGTATTGTTATGTTGTAGGTGTTGATGTTGTTAGTGGTGGTGGTGGTATTCGTGCTGTTGGTGGTGTTGGGGTTGGTGCTGTGTTGTTGGTGTTGGTGGTGGTTGTGTTGTTGCTGGTGATGGTGGTGGCGTTGTGAAGGTGGTTGCTGTTGTGGGCCAACTGTGCCTCGGATACCCAGGCCCCGGAAAGTGACGACTGTCACTGGGATGGTGCACCTCTGAAAGAGCAGGAGCCCTCTGCCGCCCCTGTGGGCCAGTTGTGGCTCGGGCGCCCTGGCCCCTCGGAAGGTGGCGACCCTCACGAGGATGCGGCCCCTCTGCAGGGGCTGAAGCCCTACGTCGCCTCTGTAATCAAGTTTTTTGGTCGGGCGCCCTGGCCCCTCGAAAAGTGACGACACTCACGAGGAGGTTGTTTTTTGGAGGAGGAGGAGGAGGAGGAGAAGGAGGAGGAGGAGGAGCCATCTGCCGGCTTTGGGTCGGGCGCCCTGGCCCCTCGGAAAGCGGCGACCCTCACGAGGATGGTGCATTTTTGGAGGAGTAGGGCTCCTCTGGACGACCCTCACGAGGAGGCTGCCCCTTTGGAGGAGCAGGGATTCTTTGTTGTTTCCGTGGCCCAGTTGTGATTCGGGCGCCCTGGCCCCTCGAAAAGTGGCGACCCTGACGAGGATACTGCCCCTCTGGAGGAGCAGGAATTATATGCCGATTACATGGCCCACTTGTGGTTCGGACGCCCTGGCACCTCGAAAAGTGGCGAGCCTCACGAGGATGTTTGCGCACTCATTTGGGGTCGACGTTTGGATAATGTTTCTCCTCCTCCTCCTATTCCTCCTCCTCCTCCTCCTCCTCCTCCTCCTCCTCCTCCTCCTCCTCCTCCTCCTCCTCCTCCCTCCTCCTCCTTCATCATCACCATCATCATCATCATCATCATCACATCATCATCATCATCATCATCATCAGCATCAGCATCATCATCATCACCACCACCACACCCCACCACCATCATCATCATCATCATCATCATCGTCATCATCATCATCATCATCATCATCATCATCATCATCATCATCATCATCATCATCATCACCACCACCAACACCACCACCACCATCATCATCATCGTCATCATCATCATCATCATCATCATCATCATCAGCATCATCATCTTCATCATCATCATCATCCTCATCATCATCATCTGCATTATCATCACCACCACCACCACCACCACCATCATCATCATCATCATCATCATCATCATCGTCATCATCAGCATCATCAGCATCATCATCGTCATCATCACTATCATCAGCATCATCATCATCGTCATCATCATCAGCATCATCAACATCATCGTCATCAGCATCATCATCGTCATCATCAGAATCATCAGCATCATCATTATCATCAACAGCATAATTTCATCATCATCATCATCATCATCATCATCATCATCATCATCATCATCATCATCATCATCATCATCATTACCATTATTATCATTATTATCATTATTATTATCATCGACAGCGACTCTGTTCAGAATGAACAGGCACTGCTGTTGGGCACTGTACCCATTCTTTCCGTACCCATTTCGCTCGTGCCGATTGCATCGGCGCCAGGCCCCCTCCCTGGCGCGCGGAGCGCGCCAGAGGCGGCGCGCGAGGCGCCGCCAGGGGGGCCGAGCACCGCAGACCCGGGAAAGCCGCGCGCGGCTCTGCTGGCCTGTGCCCACGCCTGTGCCGCCTCTCGTCCCTCCGAGGAGGTCGGTGCGGCTCGCCAACCCGGGTCAGCCAGAAGGGGTAAGGGGTATTCGCAGGATCCTGCAGGATCCGGTTGAAGGGGCCCTGGGACACACAAACAAATACACACACAAATAAAAGGATTCCCCATATTTTCCCATATCTCCTTGGTGTTTGTCTTCCCCCCACTTCCCATATTTCCCACATTTCTGGGGATCGACGATTGATTGTGTCTGTGTGTTTTCTCCCCTCCTGACCGGTGCCCTGGCTGACCCCCGTCTGCATGGACCCCCGTCTCTTAGGCTCCGAAGGCTCGTGTCGCCACGACCCCGGCGCTGGCTTCCCTGACGCCGCACGGATCGTTCAGCCTGGAGCCGTCGACGGCGCCTCGCCTGCCAGCTCGCGCGGCAGGGGCGGCGCCGGCGAGGGGGCGGCGGAGGCGCAGGCGGGGCAGAGCACCGCCGGCGGCAGCCGGGGCCCGCGGCGCGCCCGAGGGCGCGGCCGAGCGCGAGCAGGCTGCGGGCAGGGCGGAGGCGCAGCCCGAGCGGCGAGGCGTGCGCGGAGGTCGTGCCCTCCAGCGGCGTCCACCGGCAGGCGGCCGTGTGCTCCTGGGCCGCCGGCGGCGCCTCGCCCCGAGCGCCCCCGCCGCGGGGTCGCCGGCGAGCGGGCACGTCGCGAGCCTGCCGTGCACCGGTGCGCACTCGGCGGAGGAGGAGGGAGGAGGGAGGAGGAGGAGGAGGAGGAGGAGGAGGAGGAGGAGGAGGAGGGAGGAGGAGAAGGAGGAGGAGGGAGGAGTGAGGGAGGAGGAGGGAGAAGGGATGAGGGGGGAGGAAAGGGGGAGGAGGGGCCAAATCCGCTTCCTCCGCGTGGGGGCTATGTCGCGGAGTGCGGGCGGCGGGGGGGGCCGGGCCTCGCGCGGCGGGGTCGGCCAGGGGCTCCGCCAGGGGGGTGTGCGGCCGAGGAAGGCCCTGACGGTGCGGCCGACCCTGACCTTCCAAGAGGGCTTATTTACGTCTTGTTCTTAGGCCTCCAGTGCTAAAAAAATAGCTCTCTGGAAGGTCAGGGGAGGGAGCTCCGTCCCGGAGCCTCAGGGTGAGCGGGGCTCTCAGGGAGGAAAAGAGCTGCATCCACGGGGCACGTGGTCTGCTCTTCGACAGGCGCGGGCGCTGACTGCGAGCGTGGAAACCAGCGTAGCATCTTCGAGGCCAATGCGACTGGCAAGCGTATCTAGAGGAGCGGCGGCAAAAAAACATAAACTTTCGGAGCTCCGCGCGGATTTCTTGGATCGGGGTTGGGCTCCCATTCCCTGGCGCGCGGTGCGCGCCAGCGGAGCTCCTGACGTTGCTGGTGATGTAGTTGGCGAGACTGCTAGGTTGGTCGGGCAACTATTGCGGATGCAGAGACAATGGACACCCGAACAGTCCGATCATTGAATCTAAATGTCAGAAGAATGCTCTGAACATGGGTTGAACAGGTCTTTCACATGTTTAAAAACATGTGCAACACATGGTTTAGACGTCTGGAAAGTATTTGGCAACACGCTTCCTCTCCATTGATATCGTCCTCCGCAAAGGCACCCACAAGAGTAGGCGCCGTCACTGGCGCTCACGTTCTCACACCGCGCAGAGCTCGGCGTGCGGAGGGCCGGAGGCCGCCTTGGCAACGCCTCGAATGTGCGCCGCCTGCGGCTCCTGTCCAAGGCGTACCTTTTCCTGTGCAAGCTCCTCGGCACCGCCTGCACCCCGCACCCTCCGGCCGCCTGAGGCCCCGCCCGCCCGCGCTCTGTCTCCCCAATTATTGCTTTGCGCGCCCCGCCTAGCTCTTAACCGGAAGA